TTTTTTTTTTTTTTAAAATTTTTTATAAAATTTATTTAAATTTTAAAAAAAAAAAAAAATTTAAAAAAAAAAAAAAAACAAACATGGAAAAGGATTTCCCCAAAAACAAGGCATTTGGGCATGTAAGGGAGGAGCTAAGAAAATGATTCTCCTAAAAAATTTTGACCATCAAACAATCTAAAACCAATAAAATGGAATTCTTTTTCCAAGTTCCATAGAAAATTTGGCATTTCAAACATGCCCTAAGACAAAAGTTTGATACATTAATTTAAAATGACGTCAATAAAGGACAATAAATAGAACAGCTAATTTTGAACAGCAGATCTCAGTCGACTAAGACAGGTAACGGATTCCCGGTAGTTTCCTAGAGGGGGAGGGAAAGAGAGTCCTAGACGGACACGGCTGCTCATACTCAGAATCTATATGAATTCCCCAAATTATCCCCAATAGATTTATCACCATACATGCACAACGGCCAGAACTTTTATTTATATATATCAGGGCACCGTTTCTCCTTTGTACGCCTCATCTCATCTGCACATTGCTAGAGACAGAGAGGGGAACAAAAATCGGAGTCTTCGGTGTGAGAGAGAGGGAGAGAGAGAGAGAGAGAGATCTATGCAATCGAAGAAAAGGCCTTCGAGAGGCGTAGAAACAAAAATCGGATTGGTTTTTTCTGAATGTTATTATGAGCTGGCTTGATAAACTGCGTCGTTCTTCAAACTTCAGCCGCTTCATTGCCGGCCTTTTGCTCTTCCTCCTTTATCATTCTTTTCAATTGATTTCTAATTTCCCCATTCCTATACAACCGTAAAATTGTACAATCTTTCCAATTTTTGTCCATCAATTTGCATTGTTTGAATTTCGAGAAAATACCGGCTGTTAATGGATCTCAATTGTGATGACGATTTGCTCTCTAGCGATTTCTTTGACGGTTAGTATGACGCTCCAATTTTCTGAGTTTCAATATTCATTTTTTGTTATTAACTGTTCATTTTTTTGTGGTTTTATTGCGGGATAATGATATTTCTATAAGTTATTTATTATTTATATGATATTTATACAAGTGTCAAATTCTATTTAGACACGTTTTAAAATAGAGAATCCACGCTCTATTCCTACATTAATAAGCTACAATTCCAATACTCAACTTCCTACACTATTCAAATCATATTTGAATTGATTTGTCATTCACGTATAAAAAAAATTATATTAAATAAATAATGAGGAGAAATCATTAAATTTTTCTCTAAGAAGAAAAATGAAAGCCAAAATAAATAGCTTTGGAGTGTATTCTAAATTAAAGATGCTCTCCATTATGCATAAGATGCTTAGACTATCTCTTGGAGTTGCTCTTATTGTGCTTTATGTCAATGCATGCTATGTAGATGACAATTATTTGTTGTGTTCTGTATTTTATCTATTAGTTAATCATTGATTCTTGTTTTTAGTTATCTGATTAACATACTTGTTTCCAATTGTAATATGGAATTCTTTGATTATATTTGGAGCTTTAATAATGATTTTTTTCCCCCATTATGCTGGAAATATGCACAATACACTCACATCCTGAATGGCAGATTGTTTAAAATTTTGATTCTACCTATATACCACCTAAAAAATTGAAATGGTCAATTCCCACAATGCATGCACTAATTAATTAGGATTCCCCCAACCTATCACAGGTGGCCATCACTGCCAGGCCCATGTGGCCCTGGCAGTTTAGCAGGGTCCAATTAATTATTTGCATATCATGAATGTTGAGCTCAAGCGAAACGGCTCTGTTAGATGAACAGGGCCATGTCCCTATAGGCGGGGTGCACATCACCCCCGTCAAACAGCTTCACTCCAAGTGAAAAGCATAGTTTACCAATAAGTCATAGTACCTGGGGCAGGAGAGCCAGACTCTGCCACTTATGAATTTGTGCAGTCTCATCCATGGCGCACGATTAAAATTTCTGGTAATACAAAACATCAATTAAATCCATTTTCCTAGCCATAAATGGCCAGTATGAAAATGTAAATCATGTTCAATACGTATTCCTAACATTAAAGATTCTTGAACTCCCAGTGTTGTAACTTTATAAGTAAACCTGAGGTTAGTGTGCAGTAGAAGTTGATAAACTTGGCGCCACCAGTACATAAGATGAATTAATGCATTAAATCACATATTATTGCTTGCTTTCTATAGAATAGAATGACTACCTATCATAAATAGTGTTCCTCGATCCTGACAACTTTTTGACCGAAGATGGAGTAAAAATTCTAAACTAGTCTTTCACCATCTGATAAGATGTGGGCTGTGTCTAATCTTTCATGTTTCATCTAATATCAACATAAAGTGCTGTTCTGTAATCTCGCTCATGCATGGCTAAATCTTGAGTTCAACTTAATTCTAGAATTGTGTTCATTTGTTGGTGATCTTCTCTCACACTCTCTTTGTTTTTTTCATTTTTAAAGTGTTGGTCAATTTGTTTGTCTTATGACTCGTAAATTCCATTTCTATTTTGTCCTTTTCTTTCTTTCTTTTTTCTTTTCTTTTGTTTCTTTCATTTGAGAGAGATCAACACAAAATTCATTTCCAATCTGATTCATATTTCTCTTCTTATTAGACATTTATACCTCTCATATTGGAAAGAAACATGGTGCATTGCCTTCTGTCATTGTTATTGGTGGAGGTATATCAGGGATTGCTGCAGCACATATGCTCCAAAATGCATCTTTTAAGGTGTTTTTACCTTCTAAGTAATGTTTTATGAAATTGCCTTTCATTTCTTTCCCTTCCGACAATCTCTTTCTCTTTTATCCAGGTAATCTTGTTGGAGTCACAAGATAGAATTGGCGGCCGTATTTGCACTGATTACTCATTTGGTTGCCCAGTTGACATGGGAGCATCATGGTAAGTCATATTTTAATTTTACTAGATATCTATTCTGAATGATCAAGAAATTTTGTGAATATCTTGTATTGGTCCTTACTGAGCTTGAGTTACGTCCCCATCTAAACTTGGTCAATTAGGCTCTGTTATTTCAAATGACTGAGGAAAAAGGTAAAATGTGCGGAAAGCTCCGTAAAAACAATTTTTCTTTCCCCTCAATTTCTATTGATACAATGGAGGCTAATGTCCTAATAGATCTTCTCAAGTATTTGACAGAAGGACAGTTTTCATCCCAATATCAGACTGAAAATTATCTCTTTGTGAGTTCTGGCTGAAAATCCCTACAGCAGCATAGAAAATGCTGGTGGGGATCTCAACAATCACGTTCTTAAATTTTAATGCACATTATCATTTGAAAGCTGACTAGTCATACTTTAGGACCTCATATAATTGGGGAAAATATTTTTTTGCCCAAATTGCATGCTATGCCTGCAGCTTATATTTAATAACCAAGAACTTCACTTTAGAAATTGAAATACAAATATTTTTCACCACTGCTAATTCGCTTAAAGGACTTCAGAAAATATGAACTCATTACTCAAATGACATCATGTGGCACAAAATTAATTTTCATTCTTCAATAACAATTACTAAATATGGCTAACTTTTGCATTGTTGGCTGTCACTCATTTTGTTTTGTACTTCAGAACATTCTTTTGTAGTATTGAAGCTTGAGAATAAGCTACCAGTATCTTTCTTACCTATTATTGACTTCTCATGAATAATACTCAGGCTACATGGTGTCTGCAATGAGAATCCATTGTCTCAAGTTATAAGCCGCTTGGGGCTAACATTATATCGTACAAGTGGTGAGGACTCAGTTTTATATGACCATGATTTGGAAAGGTAATATATTGGTATTTTGTCACAATGAAAAATGGTATGTTTGGTGGAATATCAGTCAACTATTGTTGGATGCTTACTGCATGTGAATTCATTTTTTTCGACAAAAATGTTGAAAAATACAAAGCCATTCTAGATTTGAGACACACTTTAAACATCGTGAGTTCTTCCCAATATCTTAATTTATATTACATTTTCCGAACATTTTAAGTTTTTGATTCAAGCCATATTTCATACTTCATTTATTTTTCCCTGGAACAGTTTTGGACTGGCATATTCTAATGTTGGAAGAGGTTATAGGTGCCTTAAGAAACCAGCTTCTGATCTGACATGCATTATTTTTTATTATGACATGGGCATTGGCTATTTTTTGTTTAATATAGTTGATATAATTTTAAGAAAGGAGACAGTGAAAACTTTTGATTAATATTCTATTTTAGGCAAGCAGAGTCATTCACTATCCTGTTTTATTTGCACATACAAAATTGATATTTCTTGATTACAAATCATTCGACACGTTTTGCTCATTTCAGTTATGCACTCTTCAACATAAATGGACATCAAGTTCCACAAAGCATGGTTATTGAAGTTGGAAATACATTTAAGAAGATCCTCGATGAGGTAGGTTAATAACTTCTGAAAATTTTTGAAATTTTTATTTGCATCGTTTTCTACATGCAGAAAAGAGGATATTGATTAATATTGTCTAATTCTAGATGGATAAAGTGAGGAATGAACATAGTGATGACATGTCTGTTAGGCAAGCGATATCTCTTGTGCTGGACAGGCATCCAGAATTGAGGTACCAGAAATAAATGATTCTGTCTGAAGTTTACTTTTATGATGTTCTTTAAATCATGGGTTTCTATTGTTTACACTAGTAACATTTGTGTCCTCAGACAAAGAGGACTTGCGTATGAAGTGCTGCAGTGGTACATCTGTAGAATGGAGGCATGGTTTGCTGCAGATGCAGACATGATATCTCTGAAAGCTTGGGATCAGGTAAGTTAATATCAATTAGTTTAATTTCATTTCTTTCTCTTTCTTATTACTTGGATTCTGTACATTCTTAGTACCTATGATCTTGAGGTATGTAGTTGCTGAATTTGGTTTGTACTGCATGTGTTTTCCTTGCAAAATGTTTCTTCAAAGATATTTAATGTCTTCTCCTCATTTATGCAAATATGTCTTTTGGCACTGTATGTTTATGTTTTTATATACGTGTCAAAATTTGATGGAACCATCAAGGCCAAGTATTCATGTGTCTACTTCATATGATTCATAGTTTGTTGGTTGTTTACATATTTCCACATTTTATGCATATCTTGAAATATGCTTTTTGGCATATTATTTTCATGTTTTTACATTTTATAGACACCACGTGTTGAAATTTGATGGACATATCTATTCAAAGTCGTATCCTTTAAATAGTGTTGTTTCGGTAGATTGTGGATTCATTTGTTGTGAAACGCAATTATTACCAATTTACTTGGATAAATATTTATGTAATTTTTTCTATACATGTATGTTCAGGAGAAAGTTCTTTCTGGTGGTCATGGACTGATGGTGCAAGGTTATGATCCTGTTATAAAGTCCTTGTCAAAAGACCTTGATATCCGCTTAAATCACCGGTATGCTTGCACATATTTTATACTATAAAAATTTTATCACTTTCATCTGTCTTGAAAGTATTCAGCATGTTAGTGACAACTAGTCACTCGAGATCCCAATACCATTTAAATTTCATATTCATTAATACAATAATCATCTAAAACTATTTAATTTAGCATGAATCTCAGATGTTCATAATTCATAGTACTTTTAATAAAATTATGGTGAACATAGTATTTTGGTATGAAGGCACGACAAGGAAAATCTTGTACTACCTGTTGCATGTTTTTTTATTTTCTTCATAAATTTTGGGATAGGGAAAAAACGAAGGATTGAAAAAAATGCACCTGCTTCCATCAGTTGACTTCTAATAGAAGTTCTCCATTACATTTCCTTGTTCACCTCCATGCTTGTTCTGCCTTCATTCTTACTGAAGAAAATTTCTCACTCTTAGGGTTAAAAGGATTGTCAATGGATATAAGAAAGTGGTTGTTATGGTTGAAGATGGAAGGAACTACATTGCTGATGCTGCAATTATTACTGTGCCTCTGGGGGTTATGAAAGCCAACTTAATTGAGTTCAAGCCTAAGCTGCCTGAATGGAAGCTTTCTGCAATATCAGATCTTGGTGTGGGCAACGAGAATAAGATTGCATTACGATTTGACAATGTTTTCTGGCCAAATGTGGAATATTTGGGCATAGTTGCACCCAAGTCTCATTCTTGTGGTTATTTTCTCAATCTCCACAAGGCAACAGGTCCTCCCGTTCTTGTCTAAATGGCAGCTGGAGCCCTTGCATATGACCTCGAGAAGCTATCAGATGAGGCTGCTGCAAATTTTGTAATGTTACAGCTGAAGAGAATGTTCCCTGATGCATCTGAGCCTGTAAGTTTTGAGTATTTTTTCTTCATATCAATTTGGTTTTGTGAAGTCTAGGCTATAACTTCTCCCATTTCTTCAAATCACTCTGATGAAATCATCTATGTTCTATACAACACAAACGTCAGTATATAGATTCTTGATGATGCAACACAGCTGCTCTTTTAAGATTCTCTTTGTTAGATCAATCTGTTTTTTAACATATATATATGCATATGTGATTGTAATATATATATATGTTTTATATATTATTTTTTTGGATAAATAGCGTTATCACTTCTCCAAGTTCCTATTAATCTGAGAGTAAATCTATCTCTGATACACGCAAGTGGCGCAATGACTGCTGAAATATTGTTTTACTTCTTTTTAACATGCTTGTTATGGGTTCTGTACATGGTGACTATTTAGCTCTGATAGGGAGATTCCCATAAGAATTTTCAAGTTAGTAATGCATGGATTGAATGCAGTACTAGGGTTGGTTTTCTCTTGGGGTAAATGATTTACTATTTCATTTTCTAATTTCTTTTTCTCTATTTTCCTGGGCGGTTGGACTGATTTATAAATTGCTCCTTAGTGAAGGAACCATGATATTTACCATGGGTATTTGTTGCATGTAGTATGAAATTCTTATTTTTCTCCCATAACATGACCAGAACAAGTGCTATTAATAACACAACTTTCGAATGGCGCTTGACAGGTTCAATATCTTGTGTCGCGCTGGGGATCAGATCCCAACATCCTAGGGTGTTATTCCTATGATGCAGTTGGGAATTCAGATGATATATATGATCGGCTCCGAGAACCTTTGGGCAATCTTTTCTTTGGAGGCGAAGCCATGAGCCTAGATCACCAAGGTTCTGTACATGGTGCCTATTCAGCTGGAATTATGGCAGCAGAAAATTGTCAAAAGCATCTTATGCAGAGACTCGGAAGCTTGGAAAGGATTCCAGTCCTCGCCTTAAGAGATGAAATTGTTGAAGTTCCAGTTCCACTTCAGATCTCTAGGTTGTGAGTGTGAGATCATACTATACTATCTGAATTAATGTTTTCTTATATTTGGAAAAATCTTCCAAATATACTGTTTCTTTTTATCTTCAAATGGTTAGTTTTGCAAACAGCTAAGAACATTGTTCTGTTTGCCTGATTAAGTGAATGTTCAATGTACAATTTTACCGAAACATGGAAGTTAATTCATTGCTTCAAATTATGTGTGAAAATTGGGTATGTGTGAATTTGTTTGAGATATAGTGAGAACAACATGCATTATAAATACACTTAAAAAGAGGTTATAAGTACTCAAGTTAGTATTACATCACAAATTAATGCTATTTATAATCATGATGATGGAACATTGATATGACAACACATTATCCCTTACATTTTTCTCTTTATCTCTTCTCCTTTCTTATAAAAATTGAATTGCTTAATCTCATTATTTCACATGGACTGCCACATTATCGATGTTCTATCATCATAATGATAAATAATATTATTCTCAATCACATTCACGTTCTTTATAAAGTCAAATTGTTCGATGATAGAAGTTGTATTTTGTGACGAAATCTTGTTTTCCCCTTAATATCTAGAGAGGTGGATGGAACTTGATCCATGTGAGAGTTATGATGTCCCTTAATTTTCGATGAAGAATTCAAAGCACGAATAGTGGTTAAAAGTAAATTTTTTATAAATTTTTTGTGATAATTTAGTATTTACTTTGGAGTTGATACTTTTATTGTATCAGCGGTAACGATGGAAGAAATGATTTTTGTCAACGAGTAAAATTATTTTTAGATGTTGTGGACAACGAAATCACTAAATCACAAAACTAAGAAGTATTTTATAGGTTTCATTTTTTACAAATCGTTTTAAATCGTTAAACCATTAAAAAAATATAAATTAAGTTTTAATTCAGGACTTTCTTGCGTGCATGCATAAAGTTTACTTTTCAACTCATGATTATTTTTTTTTCCCACTAATGAATCAACGATTACCTTTTTGCATATCTGGTTGCTTATTTCGTTTGCAAATTCATGAAGATTGGGTCCGTTCACATACATGTTTGTGTAAATTGTACTAAAAAGGTGAATTCATGTACGAGACCATCAATTCATACATGTCTATACGCGTAATATATTTTAGAAAACCGTGAATCCATTTTATATTCTTTGATTTATTTATAAGTTTATGGCAATTATTGAATATTTCTTTATTTTTAACCTGGTTAAATAGATTTGGATATTCTATTATGATAATATATCATGTTGTTGTTCATGAAATAACACAACTTTATAATTAATATTCCATAAGAATATTAATCGTAGATCTGTCTATTATAATTAATTTGTTGTTGTTCCTCAAGTAGCACAACATTATAATTAATATTTTTAAAAAAATATTAATTACTCCTAAAGAGCATGAACTATAATGTTCAATATTTCAGAAGAATATTGACATATTTTTCTTGAAGAAGTAATAGTAAATTACAACATGCTCCCGAAATGACACATATTTCGATTTTAAATTAGTGTTTATCCTTGAATGGAAAATACGTAACTTATGTCATGTTGATATCGACAACTTGATTAATTGTTGTGAGATATTTAATCATATTCTTCGATATTAATTGTATCTTATTTTATGGTGAAGTTACTCAAATAGTAAATATCACAAAGTTCAAAATGAATTGTCGATATATTTGTTTAGTTGATAGTGCAAATATGCACGCTATTTTTCTAGAAAAAAAGTTTTTTTTGAACTTAACATTAGTAGAAAATAACGTTAATACGATATCGAATGCATCAAATATCGTTGAATGCTCCAGAAGAGTTTGTATTATTTTACCCAATAATAAAAAATTATATATTGAAGATACACTTTATTCTAACAAATTCAGAAAAAAATTGCTTAGTTTTAAATATATTCGCTGCAATGGATATCACATTGAGACGATACAAGACAATACTGTTGAATATCTTTGCATAGCTTCTTTTGTATCTGGCCTGAAGCAGATAAAAGAAAAATTTTCTGCACTCCCATCTGGCATATATTATACATTTATAAAAATGGTCGAATCAAAATTATCATAAACCAGAAGTTCGTTGATCCAAAAAATTTTATACTTTGGCATGATCAATTTGGACATCCAGGAGCTATAATGATGCG